TTCGGATCTTTGGTTTTTAAGGGAGGGTTGAAGAAAGAGAGAGAAGGAACACCAAATTGGATGGATAATGAGTTCAGAAGAGTCTGGGAGGAATTGGAGAAAGGGAAAGAATATGATTAAAATATATGAAAAAAAAGTTTTAGTAAAAATGACAGAGACTTATGCAGACAAAATATGACATGAATCTTATTGACAATCAGATAAATAACATGAGGCAGGTTTATCTCTTTTTATAGATGAATACAAGCAACTAGTGGTATAATTAGGTAAATCAACTTTAATACATTTTTAGGGAGTCTCAGGGAGAAATAATACTATAATTCACCTTATGTTACCTTTATATTAATGAATAACTACCCATGAGAGGACTGACTTTAGATGGTAGGTATATTAATTATCATAAATCTCTTCTAACACTTCACAGATGGTTTTTCACAAGCATTTTAAATTATTGCAGACATAAAAAGAACAGAGGCAAATCTTCTCCTAAGATGGCATACAGTGTTACCCTTCTGTGACATTGCTGTGACTTTAACCATAGGTTTGAAAACAGTCTGGAAAGGAAGGAACAGGGCAGAAGTTTGTATCTGAGGGAATAATAAAAAAAAGTCTACAACTCGCTCAGAGTCACAGCTGGAGTGAATTTAAGTCACCTTGTCCTCTTGCTTTCTCTGGTCTAGCACAGAAATAAAATGATGGATGTTTATACTTAGACCGTCATTAAAATGCTTCTCCTGCCAGTCATGGGTAGCCTTCCACTTATGTCAGTGAGCCATTCCATCGGACAAACCATGAGAGCAAGGAAATAGAAATGTGGATTGTTCCGAAATACTTTATACTATTTTTGAGAACTTAACGATAAAATGATACGCCAGTGTTATGACACCCGCCAAGTGTCAGCATGTTATCTAGTTCTTAGCAGGGAGAAGTAGGGCTAGGGTTAAAATAAACTTTAAATAATTTCAGAAAGCAAGGCGAGCGGCTACAAAGGAAAGACACTATAGTTCATTTTGGTGAAGGCTCTCATGAATTTTCACAAGTGCAAATAGATATCACACTTTTATTAAAGAAAACGAAATGTATCAATATTAGTAGTTTCTAACCAAGCCTCTCAAGTTCTAAGTTCAGTGAATGTCAATAAGTCATTACACGAAACATAATTTTATCCAAGCAACTGTCTCCAAGTATCCAAGTTGTATTAGAAAGTTATAGAATCGAGATTACATTAAGCGAACTGGAGATTCTTTTTATACACATGCCCTAAACAGCTTGTGTTAACAAGCTATCTTAAATATATCTTAATAACATATATATTAAGATATCTATCTTATTATGTACAATAAGATAGTAAGATATATATTAAGTTATATTTCTTAAATATAACTTATATTTAACAAATCAATGTACCTATCACTTTGAATTTTTTATAGCTCAAATTCAAATTAAACACACCTACTAATAAGACCAAATGATATGTGAAGAACAGAAACTCTTAGAAACACAGATCATTTACCCACAAAACACTGCAGAGTATAAAAGTTAAAACAATTGTTTAGTTGCCTTAGTCTATTCTTGTTTGTTTTAAAGGTAGCCCATAGCTTTCAATATGGAAAACTCTAGAGATGCTATCAGCCACAAGAACATATTTATTCCCATGATTTTGAAGACAGTATTTAAAATTACTTTTGGTTTCAAACATAAACCAAAACACTGAAATACACAAATGTCATATATGTATCAGTTGTGGAATCTGATTTATACAGTACACATACACACCACATGATTTTTTGAACCCATTCACAGCGTCAGAAATGAAAGTTACACTTTTAAAAAGTAGAATAACTTATCAAAATCATTTTCCTGCCACCCTCAACTTTCTTTGTCAGTTCCCACTATGAGTCTTTAAGGCGTCTGTGAAAGGAACCCTCCGTACTCTCTGTCAGTTTTCACCTTCAGCCGTAATAGTGCTGCCCTACAACACCTCTGCTCAGCAATGTGCTTTCTCTCTGTGCTCATCCTTTCTGAGAAGAGAGGGGTGTGTTTTCTAAGAATAATTTACAGCCCACCCACCTTTCCTACAAAAAAGAAAAAATCTATAAATTAAGAATGCTTCCCTTCCCTGCAATCAGACTACGCCGAACCTGGGAAACCCTGGCGTTTGGTGTTATTTTCACTTTTGTGGATCAATGAATTTAATTAAATTTCTTCAAAAAAAAAATAATAATAACATTTCAAAATGGCAAGAAAATTTGTTTTTTTAGCTCCCCATTCTGAAATGTTTAAATATGTGGTTGTGAAATTTCAGTTTATTAAAGGGAAGATCAAAGTGTAAGTTTCTAATCTCCCGATGGGAGGCTATATCCTGGAGATTTACCCTCTGTGTCTTTAAAGACAGATAGTTCAGTGTCATCAGTCACAACTAAAGCTGTTGGACAGAACTGAACTGCTTGGGCCTTGGGTGGTACTGCAGAAGTAGCTGTTTTCAGCAACTGGCACTTTGCTTTCAGTTTTCTCAACTAAAATTTGTTATGATGGGCAAAAATTCTGGCATCAACATCGTTGCTCAAGATCTCTGTGTGTGAGAGAGAGGGAAAGAAGAGAGAAGTCAGCATCATTTCTCTTGGGCTGATTTTCTAACTTAGATCTATTTGTGAAATTATGAATACAAAGACTTTTGGAGACCGCATATCCAGTGGAATAAAGAATATAGAATAATACATGTTCGCATAATTAATTTCTCTTCTTTAAAGAATCACTTTGCTTTTCATGAGAAGTGAGAACACAGAATAGACATAATGTAGTCCTTTTAGATACCTACTACTCACTCTTAGTTCAAGGGTATTAGACTTCCTCACAAACCTACTGTCACATTTTTAAGAATCTCTTAATTATAGCTAAATATGTGTAATGACATATATTACATTTGCTAAGCTCTGAAGGACATATCAGGAATTCAACTTATTTGTAAAATAAATAATTAGATATTCAAATTGAGAAGTTGAACTGCAGCCGTAAACTCTTTAAATAAACACACTGCATAATTAATGAGGTATTTGAGGGACAGCAGACATAACCCATAGCTATCTGTTTAGATGTATGTTAGCAAAATGTAAGGAGTAAGTTAGACTCCGAGATATCTTCTTTAGTCCCCTCGGAAAGGCCCTCGTGGCTGCGAGTGTAACTGGTGATTTGACAGATCAGGAATTAAGGCTCAAGTCACATCCCAAGTCAGGGCACTTGCACACTTTTGGAGTATGTACTCATTAGGCAGAGAGGAGCCTGAAGAGACACTGTGTCCTTGTGGTTCTCCTGTAGTTCTTGGGAGAACTGCAGCTCTCTGAAACCAAGGTGAAGTGAGAAGTGAGTGATGGTCATCAGATTATCTGTAAAAGTCCTTTTAACCAGGGGGCCCCGCTCATGATGACCTCAAAGAGAAGGTTAGGTTAATTTCTCTTGAAAATGTTGGAGTGTCTCCCACGGAAAAAGAAATGGTAAGAGAGGTGGCTATGTTGGTGTGGGGGTGCGTGTGAGAGATTGGATGTGCAGAGTATTATGTATGTATGTATGCATGTATGTATGTATGTATGTATGTATGTATACATGTACATATATGTATAGTTTCTTATTTTCCGTAAACTTTTTAAGTCCTGGGATTGAAGACATTGCAGTTCTTTGAGAGAAGAGCTGAAATGTTCGGTATTTCAAAACCCCGGGAAGCATTCTCAGATTGCAAACATACACACACACACACACACACACACACACACACACACACACACTGGCATCAGGCACACAGACCATGAGAGGGCAGTAGGGGGCCAAGCTCAGGCCTGAATCTTCTCTGGCTGTACAGCCTTTGCTGCCAGCCTTCCCTTTGCCTCCGGGGCTGTGGGCAGCTGCAGCTGATGACAGCGCGCTGAAAGCGGGTGCAGCCTCATCTCTGAGCGAACCGGAAAACCCGCATCTGCAGAGCACGGAACTCTGCCTGGGGTTGACACTTGTGAGAGGTGCGTGTGCTGTTTTGGCAAACTGGCATTCGACTTTGGCTTCCCACAAAAGGAGAGGAAGGTGGAGCTGTGGTGGCTCCCAGTGCCCACAGAGCCCCCTCTCCTGGCCACAGCGCACCGACTACACTTGGTGCCCAGTGAGCGCGCGCCCCTGCAGCCAACCTTTGCTTCACTTTGCTCCAGGTGTCTGTGTGAGCCTTTGTAAATGACTGTCAACCCATCTGCCTGTGAGACAAAGACCTAGATGACCTCAGAAAGCACCCTCTCTCAAAATCGGCTTTGGGATCCCTGCTGTGCTGCAGCCGCTTAAGACACTGTCATTGTCACCCCCTGATTTTCTTGCTCCCAGTTGATTTATTCGCAGTTCGACTTGAGTGGGAAGTGCGAGCCTGCTGGAGATCTTGCCTGTCAGTGCAAAGAGTTTCACGGAGAAAGACAACGCAAAAGAGAGCAAATCCCGTTTTGGGCTCATGAGATCCATATTCTCCCTGCACACCCCAAAGCCGTCGCTTTTAGACCAGCTGTGAGTTTGGGACACACACAGACATTTCACTTGAAGATGGGGAAGCCACAGGCCCCATCTTCCAGAGTCAGGAAGATAAAGGAAGTGAACACCTAAGCGCTTAGACTCGAGGCTCGCACATCCACTGCATCCGCGTGATAGGCGGGAGGAAGGACCGTTCTGGCCACTTTGCCAGAGAAACGCACTAGATCTTAAAAAGTACTCATGTCTCAACGCAGAGATGAGGCAGAACTCTAAACCTCCCGCACTAAACGAACATCCCAGAGACCCGCCAATCACCCAGGTCCCGGTTTTCATGCACGTCCAACTTCAGCCACCCCCTCCCAAATAGCCAGAAGCACCACACCTGCCTGGGGTAAGGCTTTGACTCTTGCAGGGCGCAAAGGCAAGCTGCCGGCGCGAAAGCCCTGGTCCCTATCTCTCCCGGCTGCAAAGTGTGCTGGGGGGGTGGGGGAGGGGAGGGTTCCTACCTGCCCCAGGCTTTTGCCCTTCTTACTGCCGCCGAACGCCAGTCCTTGGTTCATGCCCGCAGATCGATTGGCAGCCTGAGCAGGAGTCTCCCCTCCCAGAGAGGACTTGATGGAGTTGAGTTTGGCCCGAGAGCTGCCTAGCTGTGAACTCTCCACCATCAGCACCGCGGCCAGTAGGAGTAGGCAGCGGGAGGAATCCTTGCTCCGCATCAACGCGGCCATCTCCGGGTGAGGGGTTTCCCGGAGTGGGATGGAGCCCGAAAGATGCGAATGCCAGGAGAGGGAGGACGCGGACCCTCAAACCCTCACGTGGGGCTTGTGGGATCCTCACGGACACCGTCCCCCCAACCCTTCCTGGCTCAGACACCCAGGACTTTCAGAACTCAGTCTCAAGCCTCCAGCGGGGAGCAAAGGCGACCCCGGCGAGACCCGCTCCTCCAGCGGGCAGGAAGTTCTGCAGTCCCTGGAAGCAATCAAAGCCCAGACGCCTGCTCGCCAAGGAGGCGTGACCCAAGGTGCAGGAAGACCCAGCCCTGCAGCTCGCACCGCTGGCTTGGCGTTCCTCGCTGAGCCCTTTGGCGCTCTCGCCCGATTTTCCGCGGTTGACTCTTCTTCCCTCTTAACCGCTCGCGAGGTTCTCCCCAGCTTCTTTTCCTTCGACCTCAGTCGCCCGCTCTCAGCTCTCCTGCGCTTTAGCTCTCAACCTTCGCGCCACTCAAGTCCCCCTTTCCAAGTCAGCAGGCTTTATAACTGGTCATCTCGAGTCGCCCCTGGCCGGACGCTGGGGATCTGGGACCAGCAGAGGTCCCCGCACGCGCACTCCCACTGGTGCGGTGAAGGAGGCTGTGCCCCTCCCCGCCCCCGGTTCACACCGGGCCACCAAGCACTGACAGAGATGCAGCGATGCGCAGCGCGGAGGGCCAGTGCTCTTTCTGCTCTCCCCCGCCCTCTCTGCTTTTTATAGCTTTCCACAGTGGGTTTTTCCTCCGCCCCCAATTCAAGAGTGACAAAGAGTGAAAACGTTCCTCTCCCCCCCCCCCCCCCCCCCCCCCCCCCCCCGCCCCTTTTTCGGGGCCCTCCCCCCCCCCCCCCCCCGCTTCCCACTTTCCCTACCCTCCCATCCTTCCTTCACCCTGTCTCTAAAAACTTGGGGTTCACCTCCAGAGCAACAAGGGCGGGAGAGTTCTTCATGAGTGATCACAGCTCCCTCGGAGTGGTTGGGAGTTTGAAAACAGGCAGAAATGAAGAGGAAAGTTTGTCCCCATTTGGGTGACTGACACCAACTGCTGCTTCTAAGTTCTCCCACCCGGCTCCCGGCTCCAAGTGGGAGCGCTGGAAAAGGCCCTCAGAACATCTGTGAGTTAGCTTGGCCGACTGTGTGCAGCCTGGTTGGATTCGAGGCTGTGCCTCTTGGTTCATGTGCCCTGTGCGGCTACCCTGCTGTAGGTGCATGGAATAGGGAGGGCGTGCAAAGGTGGGCAAGAGAACCAACGGAAGAGGGGGCTGTAGAAAAAGGGAGAGAGAACCAAAGAACGAGGGGGATAAGGGGACACCCCCCCCCCGAAGTGTCTGGATCTTTTTGGTTTCCTCATCCCCCACCCATCCCCACACACAGGGTACACATTTATCTAACCAAGGCGTGGAAAGCAAGGGATAACGTCCCTGACTGTGCCACCTCGCCGCTTCTTGAGGCACCTTTAGGATGCCAAAGCGTCCTCTTGGAGAAGAGGAAACCCCAGGGAGGAATAAAAAGCCTAATGGGGAACCGGGTGAGTGGCAAAGTGGGCCGGAAACTTCTGGTCCTGCCTCTTGAGCGGCTCCCTTCTTCCTAGCCCCTGGGTTGCCGGAGCGAGCAACCGGGAACGCATTGGCTGGCTTGCAGCACTTGGGGGCGCCAGTGGCAGCGGTCAGCCAGGAGCACAAACACCGCGGGAGACAGGCTTCGCCAGCAAGCTCCGGGTTTGAAGTGGTTTGGTCGCCCAGGAAACAGAGCAAAGGTTGTTGGGTGTTTCTTTAGCAGCAGTTCTGTTGTGCAGTCACTAGCCAGCCTTGTTTGGAGTCAGACAGGGTGGCCCGCCGTGAGGGGTGTATTCCAGCAGCTCACCATACAATTTTTGGATATCAGTCTCCTCTTTCACACCTGATTCTGGCATAATACCAGACTGTCCAGGAGCCGAATTTTACACGTCGCTGAAAGGAAGGTATTTTCCACCAAACACGCCAAGAACTAAGGTGTGCCTTCAGAGCGGGGATGTCCTGGGCAGAGTCAGCTATGCACTTTGCTTTCCCGGACCTGTGAGTCAGCCTGTCCTGAAACTTTTCATGTACACAAGGTAGTGGGGGAGGGGGGTCTTGATTTTTGTTTTTTGTTTTTTTAAAATACACAACCAAACAGTAAATTAAATATGCTTACTCTTTGGGTTGCCTTTTTGCCTTAAAGTAAAATTGATTTGTTTGTTTGTTTACTTTTTGATTTATTTTTGACGGCATGTTTTGGCTATGTTGCCCAAGCTGGCACTAAGCTAAACATTCTCCTGTCTCCTCCTCCTCTAAACTGCTGAGATTACAGACATCTGCCATTGCTCTTGTCTAGTCTTCATAGTTTATGGTTGCTTCACTTAAAAAACAAAAAAACGCATTAGAATACCATAGATGAGTCCTGAAGAAATAATGCCAGTGTAAGGACCAGTTATACATCTCTAAGATAGTCAGAACGCTGGTTGTCAAGGACTAGGAGGAAGGAAAGGTAAGAAGCTACTATATTCACAGGCACAAAGTCTCAATCCATCAAGATAAATAAACTCTAGATATTTGCTAAATCAGTGTCAGGAGCAGATGATAATGCAATGAACATCTAACATTGTCTAAAAGATAGATTTCATGGTAAATAACCTTACTACAATAAAAACATACATGGATACATAATTTTATCCATTAAAGAGTGTGTGTGTGCTTGTGTGAGCCCAAGGACGAAGTTGTATGGTTTTAAGGATAAGCAAGGCTCTAATGGAACACAGAGAGAAAAATAGTCTGTATGTTATGAATAAGACCTTAGTCTTTACAAACGAATAGTATCTTTTGCTTTTGTTTTGACTTATTTGCTAGTCTGGAAACATTACAGAAATGCAGGAAATTAAGTAAGAAATATTTTAAAGAAGACTTTATTGTTTTTGCAACTTTTATTTGTTATTAGCACATGTGTAAGGGGTATAGCTGTGCCACAGCATGTATGGAGGTCAGAGGAGAACTTCATGGAGTTAACTCACTCCTTCTGCCTTTGCATGGGCCCTCGGGATCAAACTTTAGTCATAAGAATTACACAAAACATTCCTTTATTAGCTGAGCCACCCCTTAGAAATATTTTAGAGCATGAAAAGAGACAAAATGTAGTTACATATATATGCAACACACCACCATATATATTCATTTGAAAGAAAATTGAATTTGACCATATGTAGAAGAAAAAAACCAAGTTAATAAAGAATAAGATGAGGAATCTTTGCCTGTTTTAGTCACGTTACACTTTATATCCAATCAGAATTATAACACGCGCACACACACACACACACACACACACACACACACACACACACTGAATACACTCCTTGGATGCACTCTAATCAGAAAATTAATATTGACCACAGTATACTTAGTGAATAAATCCATCTTATATAAGGACCATAATAATGAGTCTACTAAAAGCCAACCAAACACTTTTTAAACTCCAGGAACAAGCTTAAAAATACAGTTAAACTTCAGGTTCACAGTCATGTGGCATGGTGACACAGGCACTCAGGAGACAGAGGCGGGTAACCTATGTGAGTTCAAGGCCAGCCTGACCGACAGCGTGCAGGGCTAGATCCCTTACACATGTACCAATAACAGCTAAAAAAAGTTGCAAAAATAATAAAGTATTCTCTAAAAGAACTGAATCAGGCCTGCCAAAGATACATAGTCAGAATCTGCCTTTAAAAAAAATCAAAAGTTTACATAAAACTTGTTTGTTTTTTTTTTTACAAATATTCTCCTACATTAAGGAAAATCAAATACATAGCATCAAACATTTAAATATCAACAACCACACTTTAGACTAAAAGGTAAGCAGAAACTGGTTTCATTGATGATACAAATGCAGTCTACACAATTATTTGGTAACTGTGTAAGTTATACATACAAGGAGATACACAAAATCAGGAGTTGGATAAGCACATACCTTGGCTGCTGTCATAAATCCACACGTGTTTTCTCCTTGTGTGTTTTCTTGAACAGGAAGAAACATCATCGTATTTTACTTGGGAGGATTGAGTTTTAGATCACTGGCAATAAAATAATTAGAGAGCAAATGCATAAAAAAGAAGACTGTGCACAAGTCAAGTCAAATCTCTCCTGTCCTGAAGAGAGTGTGTACGTGGACACTCTGTTCTTTGGCTGCACATTTGCTCTCCTCTTTCTTCTTCTAGCTCTGGGCCATCTTGGCCCCATTAAAAAGAAACAACTTTCCCAGAAGTTGCTCTGAAACAAGATTTCCTTCTAATACTTAACCCTAAGACAGGATTTACCCTTCTTACTCTCAGTTTTTAGTTCCTTACTATTTCGTTCCACCATCGTGCCTCCTGGCTTAGTACATAGTTCATTCAGCTTATGAAATCACTGCACATGTAGAAAGTGTGGGGCCCAGTCAACACAGAGGTAAGTGGGTGGAGCCTGCAGCCTTGATGAGGCTTACAGCCCACTGTCAAACCCTTGACTCATAGACCACCAGGACTAGCTGTTCTGAGCCCTCTCCTGTTCTTACCTACTGCTGAACTTTTTGAATACTTGACTTCAGGCTCTCCTAGGTTATCTGAATCTTCAAAGCTGATGAAGTCATGTAATTGTAGAAATAAAGATGATTTAAGACATCCCCTAAAGACTTTCTTTCCCACAGACCTTGCACATATATCTTAAGAACATACATACAGTGTACACCATACCCTCCATATCTGAGTTTGAACCCACAGAAATGGCCAGAGCAATGGTCATTAAAGACTAAAGTATTATATCTGGGCCAACTTGAGAAGGGAAACTACAGGCCCCACAGGATTCCAAATCACCTTGCATGTAGGAAATGGATATGAAACCTTCCTGATATAGATGAATCTCTGTGGTTGTTAAGGACCTGGAAAATACAGTTACAAGTTTCCTTACTGCATAGTAAACATGGATACTACTTGATCCTGTTA